AATAGTTAGATTGATGTTTATTATGTAAATAAAATTTTGATAGCCTCTGTGTCAAAACTTTTTGAACCGCCCACGTACATCAAGACATGCCCAGGGTTTTTCCGATCGAACCATCGGAGTATGACCAAATACAGGTTTGTGTATTTGTTTACTGCGAGATCATACCATATCAAAAACCCATGCGTTGTATACTATTACAACACTACAGGTCTACCCAGCAACAGAGATTATTTCCCGTTCATCTCAGTCACAAGGAAACATTTCCCAACTACGAAACAACTCTGATGAATCAAGAAGCGGGTTTCCAGATCAATCTTCTCGGATGGAAACTGACGAGCGATCTCTGCAATCTCACCAGCAGGATAGACGTAATATTGTTTATAATAAGGAATGGATAGAGAGAAGCGTTCAATTCGCTGTTATTCAGAAGCCGATATTAAAGTAGGACGACCCATCGGTACTGGTTCATACGGAGTAGAATATAAAGCAACGATGAAGCACACTGGAATGCCTATCGCATTGAAAACTTTGGTTTGGCGTCCGGACGATTGCGAGGAATAACTGTACAAAAAGTTTGCCAAAGAGGTATTTCGATTTCTTGGTACTGTACTCTGTTTCATTGCTATTGACTTGTAGTTAATAATATTGTCATATATAGTTGAACAATCATAAGAAAGTGAATGGCCATCCAAATATTATCCAATTTTTGGGTATTTGTAAGTATCTCGTAGTTATGAGATCTCTAGTTTACATTCAGGATTAAGTTTCAGTTTTTATTTACAAAATTTTGTTAGAGTTTAGCTTTGTCATATATTACAGTATTATTATTATCATAATTTGCTGACTATATATAATGTTTGTATTTCTCAAGCTAAAGATGAAGATGACAGTTATAATATGATTTTCGAGTATGCTGATGGCAGCACCTTGTGCCATCACCTGGCACAATGTTTTTTTAGTTTAACATGGGAAGACAAGTACAAGCTTGGATTGGAAATTACTAATGGCTTGAGCTACATGCATGAACTTGATATCATACACAAAGACTTGGTAATTGTGATTACATGTTATGTTGCTCACCATTATTACATTAATGATTATACTAATTATTATTATCTCTCATTTTTATTTCAAGTCTTCAATCAATATACTTATAAATTCAGGCATTGCAAATATTGCTGACTTTGGTCTGTCAGGACAGATTGGGTCCTCATAAATAGGTGATGGGACTGCAGCATACAGAGATCCCTTATCATTTACATATAAACCGTATAAATATCAAAAAAATAAAAAGTCTGACATTTTCAGTCTTGGGGTGCTGCTTTGGGAAATTTCTAGTGGGAAAATTCCCTGTAAAGATTGTGCAAGTGTGACAGAGTACAGAAAGAAAGGCTATCGAGATTCCCCTTTTCCAGAAACACCAGGAATGTATGTTCAACTATATTCAGCATGTTGGGGTGAAAACCCTGAAGAACAACCATTATGTAAAGAAGTATACAACCAATTGAAACTGTTACTTGATGGTAAAGATCAAATTGTACTTGGCAGTCACAGAACATTGAATCTTTCTTGCAAACTGATAGATGCAGGAGTGGCTGCACTAACAGCTGTTCTAAAATCAAACTTTTTTGTAAATTCATTGATACTTTCTTATTATGGCATTGGAGATGAAGGAGCAACAGCATTGGCAAAAACTTTAGAATCTAATTTATTTTTGACTTCTTTAGATCTTGGTTCTAATAAGATTGGAGATACAGGAGCAACAGGCTCTAGAGGCAAATTCATCTCTGACTTCTTTGCATCTACAGGATAATCAGATTGGAGATGCAGGAGCAACAGCATTGGCAAATGGTCTAGAATCAAATTTATCTCTGACTTTTTTGAGACTTGATCATAATCAAATTGGAGATGCAGGAACAGCAGCATTGGCAAAGGCTCTCAAATCAAATTCATCTCTGACTTCTTTGAATCTTTATTGTAATCAGATTGGAGCTACAGGAGCAACAGCATTGGCAAAAGCTCTTGAATCAAATTCATCTCTGACTTCTTTGACACTATGGCTTAATCAAATTGGAGATGCAGGAGCAATAGCATTGGCAAAGGCTCTAGAATCAAATTCATCTCTGACTTCTTTGAATCTTGGTTTTAATCAGATTGGAGATGCAGGAAAAACAGCATTGGCAAAGGCTCAAAAGTCAAATTTATCTTGTGAACTGTTTAGATGAACTTTTGTTATTAACCCAAGTCTTAGAATATTGGCTTAATATTAATTATTCCAGATAAAACTATACATACATAGCATGCATAAACGTATGTTAATGTATGGGTGGCCAATGTGTGTTACATATTATGTGTGCAAAGTTAGACTAACAATATTAATAAAATATGTTAGCAGCATGATTATTTTATCTTAAAAAACTGTTTATATATTATAATGAAGTGGCATAGCTTTTGCTTTACTAAGATTTTTAGTTTTCTCTTTTTATGAGAATGTTTGATATTTATGTACCATTGCTGTATATATATATAATTATAATATCAGTTCCTAATGTATTATTATTGTGTACTGTGAATAAAAGTAGACTAAAAGTACACTTGATATTGTTGAGACGTTTCAAAAAACACCATATGTTAAATTGTTCATCAAATGTCAAGTATTCCTCAAGAGTTAGTCTTTGTGTTAACTTTTATGCTGATTTAGATTTTTCGGTTAGAAAAGGCAATTAACAATTCAGATTTCCTCATGCAAATAATACGTTTACTATGATAATGGCATCTTAATCTATACCCCCCTGCCAAAAGTATCCGTCACTTTTATTTTACTTTTGATGATCGGCATTATTTCGAAAATTTTATCAAACATTCAAATTAAGTTTGTTCAGAAACTGTATTAACAACTTTTAACGAAATTTATATTTTCGAAGTTCTCTTGTTATGAACTTTTTATTTATAGTGCTAATACGTTGTGGGATTTCCTCCGCTATCAACTACAGCTTTAACTCTTCAAGGCATGCTATTTACTAAATTTTCTAAAACGTTTTCCTCAATTTTCAACCACTCCTCCTTCAAAATGGAAGCTAGTTTTCTCTTATTTTTTGATATGGGTTTGTGGTCATGTAATTTTCTCCCAAGATGATGCTCAATTGGATTGAGATCAGGGCTCTGAACAGGCCATGGAAGAGAAGGTATCAAATTGCCTCTTTCGTTTGTTCATCATCCAGGCTTTCAATAAAGGGAACTAAATGGTTTTCTAAAAGCTTTTTATAGACTTGGCCTGTAATATATCCTTCTAACACTACTAACGGTCCAAGTCGATTTTTAACAAAACAGCCCCAAACCATTACCCCTTTCCCATTACTCTTTACCGTAGGCACTAGGCAGTCTCATGAGGTCTACGCCAAACCCATTGCTGACCATCATTTTCGAATGAAAGAAACCGGGATTCATCACTCCAAATGATTGTATCCCATTGTTCATCCCAACTTTTACGTTCGCGACACCATCTTGAGCGTTTTATTCTATTATTCTCAGAAACGAAGGGTTTTCTCTTCCAAATAAAGTTATGGTTATGAAGCACAAGTCTAGCAGGACGAGTACTAACCTGAGTAAGCTAGGCTGTTGAACAGCTCAGTAATCTCTTCAAACGATTCTTTCCTATTATCTTTGGTTACTCGCACAAGAGTTCGCTCTGAACGAGGAAGAGACTCAGTCGTCCCATCGTTTTCGAATTTGTTAATGATATCAGTGCAAGTAGTTCTGGGTATACTGTATGTTATAGCGTTAAAATATAAAAATATTATAGTTTGACTACGAGTTTGTTATATAACTAAATTAAAAGCATTTATTACAACATGAATTCTTTTCCATGGACGAGAACGTTTTGCACCAAGAGATGTACACCCCTGCCAAAGTATCCTTCACTTTGTGATCGGCGAATAGAATTCTGCCCCTTAGCCTACATTCAAAATGAGATATCTCGACTTACATCTAACTTAATTTCAAGTGGTTTTCTTTTCCGAGCAGATAAAGACCGTAGCTTCCAAAAATTATAAAATTACTTTTAGTTTTATTTACTAGATTTTATAAAAAATGCCTAAGTCTCGTGAACGCTCTAATTTTGAACGCGGAATGATTATCGGACTTCACAAGGGCAACCACAACGCACAGACGTTCAAAAAATACTCGGTATACTGTATCTAATGTTGTGCGTATTCATTTATTGCATATAATAAACAGAAACATTCTAAGTAATGATATACATGTCCATTTAAAGTCACAAACTATTTATATTATCAACAAATATATACTTTCCCAATTATATACGTGGCTTCAACATCACATTTATTTAATTTGCACATGACATCCATCTTAATAACGAACGCGGGCAACGAAAAAAAAACCATCGAACATAAAACGCACTATTTATTGGATAATGACCGATGCTCTGATGTATAAACAATTATATTAGTACAGTGTGCAACCAAAAAAATTTGACTTTTTTTATGTAACCTCCGTCGATTGTTCGTGCTTTTTGTTTGTCCGATCTGGGACATGTAATTTGAATGTTTTTTACAACTCTAACCTTAGAGCAATTTTGTTTTATATACAAACACAATGTTCGCTTCGGGTAAAAAACACAACTTTAATACATATTACATTTGTGGAATGCTGCCAAGAAATTTATTGCCCAAAAGTAATCTCTCTAGACTAATCGGTCAATCAATGCGGTTCGAAAAAGCGTCTAATACTGGTGTTGACATGTCACACATGAACAATTTCAAGGCATCTGACTGCTTTATGGTACTCGAAAGCATTACCTATACAAACTCTGAAGCCATACGCAAGGACGTGTGGACACGGCAGTAACTTAATGGCAATTAGAGAAAGACATGATTTTTGATAAAACTGTAATCCAACTTTACCGAAACACTGTTGAACTTTAGTACAAAGATGAAAGTTAGATGCCAAATTTTATGTAGCGACACATTCCACAAGCAAATAGGATGGATACTTGGGACTCCAGCAAGACAACGATCCAAAACACACACAAGTTGTTTCGTTACGGAGTTTTTGAAAAAAAAAATTACTAGCCATAAACCCCTAATGTAGCTAGCATACAAAACAAATCTTGGTAGCCGGAGAGTTTTATAGTACCTCATGACAATTCCTTAGTAGTTAAAATCTTGTTAATTAATTTGGTGGAATTAATGAAACGACGTTTGAAAAAAAGGCTAGTTCCTTAATTGGCTAACACATTGAGGAGCTAACATTTTTTCTTATGGTATACGCTAAAACTCAACTCCGATTTTTTTTCTCGTAGTTAAGGTACCTTTTATTCTATAGTTCATCTAACAATTGATCTTGATGGCTATTTTTTGCATTGATAAATATCAATTTCTGCGAAATGATCGGTTTCGGCAAAAGTTATTTTTGAAACATCTCTTATAAACAAAGTTTACCGCTTAATTTTGCTCAGTAAAACTTGAACAACTGTTGAACACTGTCTTAGAATTGACAATACAATTTGCCATTTCAACGTCTCCCAACTAATACGTAGTTGCATCCAAAAAAAAACTTTATTTCAGTTAATTAAAAATACCGCCATGTCTGGCATTAAACGTATTAGTATTATAAACTGTACATGTGACAATATTTCGCTGTAAACAAAAAGAAAAGAAGATAAAGACTTACAACATATTTAAAGCTACAACAAGTTTACTGTAGACCGGACCGTGGGGGTATTAGTGTGCACTATATTTGGATGAACTAGCATGAATACAAAAGTTTTTGCTCGTTAACATTTACGAAAGGCTGCTTCTTAATAATCAAGTTGTGTGGATAAAATTTCTTGAATGCACGCACTATTGGATTTTCTCCAGTTCTATATACAAGCCACACATTCTTCACCGCAAAGATTTCTGTTGTTAACGTTTGTATAACCTTAAAAAGTGTTGACATGTCGTGTAATCTAGACTTCTCAATCATTGGTCATGACATATATTACGTACGACTTAACCTGAGCGGCTTGTAGTTAACATATCGTATAATGTCGCAACAACCTTTTTGGCAAGGCCAGCCATGGAACTATCAACAACAAGAGGAATCAGTACAACAGCAGCAACAGCAACAGCAGCAACAGCAGCAACAGTATTATTATCAACAACCAGCGCAGCAGGAATACGTTGATTACGATGGCTCAAATCAGTATCTATTATTGCAAGCAGGACAAATACCTCAACGATACCTTCCACAATTACCTACTGATGTGCTTACCTTTGGTGGTCTGCCAACGCAATTGATAGGCGAACCGTTGTTGTATATAGACAATTCTAATCTGACTATGTATGAACAACTAGGTACAGGCTCCATTCAGCAAGAGTACGATGCTTTGTCTACTCCGCAAAACTCGCTTACGCATCGACAACAACGTCAACAACAATGGTTGTCGCAGTACCCGTATTCGAGACAGCGTGAAGCACAGACACCACACGAATTGTTTACGCCAACCATGCAATTTGAACACCAATTTGATCGACAGAACTCTGTTCAAGATATGCTTGGGGTTGTACCGATCGAGCGATCAGATTATGACCAGCTGCAGGTTTGTATAATCGGTCTGTTTACTGTAGTTGTTACAATAACTGTGTACTGACCTCATACATTCTTATACTATTATACGATTACAGGTCTATCCAGGAACGAGCAGTCCAAGTATCTCTCGATCGCAAGGAAACCAAGTTCCTGAACTGCAAACCGACTTTAATCAACTCGGAAACGGATTTCCAGATCAACCTCCTCAGACGGAAACCGACGAGCTTGAGCGATCTTCGCAATCTCAAGCAACCAGTCATCAACAGCGGGGAGAGTCGAATAGTGTTTATAATAAGGAATGGATTGAGAACAGTATTCGGGAGGGTTCTATCCGGTGTTATCCAAGAAGTGACATTGAAGTGCGTCTTTTACCTATTGCCGGTGGTGCTTATGGGGCAGTACATGAGGCAACGCTGAAACACAATCGCAGTAGATTGACTGTTGCCGTAAAAACTTTGTATCGGAACGTCCACAGTTGTGAGGAAAAATTTTACAAAAAGTTTGCCAAAGAGGTTGGTTATTGATTTTTTTTGTTTAATACATTAACGGCCGGCATACTGTATGTATGACCTCATTACCAATTTATAACTAATGATTTGCATACCATCAGCTGAAAAACCACAAGAAAGTGAGCGGTCATCCGAATATTATCCGATTACTAGGTGTTTGTAAGTATACGGTGTTATTATTGTACATGATGGTGCATTTTTTACACATAACTTATATGTATTTTTAATTCACAGTTGAAGATAACGGCTATCATATGATTTTCGAGTTTGCTAATGGCGGAACTTTGCGCAATCACTTGGCAAAACATTTTCGTCACTTAACATGGAAAGACAAGTATAGGCTCAGTCTGGAAATTACTAAGGGCTTGGAACACATGCATAAACTTGACATCATTCACAAGGACTTGGTAATAAGTGAAACTTTATATTCTGACACAGTGCATAGATTAATATTTATAAAACTAATCATCATTATTATTTTCCTAACCATTACTTATAGTCATCCTCCAACATTCTTATCAAATCTGGCATTGCAAAAATCACTGATTTTGGTCTGTCTGGACAGATGATGTCTTCTTCCTTAGGTGAAGGCACTGCAGCATACAGAGATCCCTTGTCATTTAGAAATGAACCATATAAGCGCGGAAAGAAATCTGATGTCTTTAGTCTTGGTGTGTTGTTTTGGGAAATTTCTAGTGGGCAGATTCCTTGTAAAAAATGGACCAATATGACAAAATGCAGAGAAGAAGGTTATTGAGATTCCCCCCTTCCTGAAACACCTGATGCATATGTTCAGCTATATTCAACATGTTGGAGTGAGAATCCTGAAGGACGACCATCTTGTAAAGAGATATGCAAACAATTGCAACTATTATTTGATGATAGAAACCAGCATTTACCAGGTAAATCACTGGTTCTTTCTTGGAAGCTGAGAGGCATGGGAACAGCTACACTCATGGCTGTTCTAAAATCAAACCCTTCTGTAAACTCTTTGATAATATCTTATAACAATATTGGAGATGCAGAAGCAACAGCATTGGCTAAGGCTCTAGAATCAAATTCATCTCTGACTTTTTTGGATCTTCATTTTAATCAGATTGGACATGCAGGAGCAACAACATTGGGGAAGGTTCTAGAATCAAATTCATCTCTGACTTCTTTGAATCTTGGTTCTAATCAGATTGGACATCCAGGAGCAACAGCATTGGCAAAGGCTCTAGAATCAAATTCATCTCTGACTTCTTTGAATCTTCTGAATAATCTGATTGGAGATGCAGGAGTAACAGCATTGGCAAAGACTCTAGAATCAAATTCATCTCTGACTTCTTTGAATCTTGATTATAATCAGATTGGAGATGCAGGAGTAACAGCATTGGGAAAGGCTCTAGAATCAAATTCATCTCTGACTTCTTTGAATCTTTGGAATAATCAGATTGGAGATGCAGGAGCAACAGCATTGGGAAAGGCTCTAGAATTAAATTCATCTCTGACTTTTTTGGATCTTGATTCTAATCAGATTGGAGATGCAGGAGCAACAGCATTGGCAAATGGTCTAGAATCAAATTCATCTCTGACTTCTTTGAATCTTTGGAATAATCGGATTGGAGATGCAGGAGCAACAGCATTGGCAAGGGCTCTAGAATCAAATTCATCTCTGACTTCTTTGAATCTTGATTCTAATCAGATTGGAGATGCAGGAGCAACAGCATTGACAAAGGCTCTAGAATCAAATTTATCTCTGACTTCTTTGAATTTATTGAAGAATCAGATTGGAGATGCTCTAGAATCAAATTCATCTTTGACTTCTTTGAATCTTGCAACAGCATTAGCAAAGATCCGAATTTATTTCTGACTTTTTTGAATTTTTTAGATAATAATATTATGGATATTGGCAAAAGTTGTTAAAAGCAAACTAATATCTGGCTTCTTTGGATAGGTACAATTAACACACGTTTTCAAGAAAGACAAATGATAAATTTTTGGTTATGACATCAGATTGACAAAGAGTTTTAGAATCAAATTTATTTCTGACTTTGATTCATTGGTGATTTAGAAAAAATATATGTGATCAAATATCAACTTGTTATCCTGCTACTATATGAAAACTATTGTAGATTTATTAGCATAACTAGAAGTGTCTCGTGCTACCGGCTGATGAAATCAGCCGGTCGTAATGTTAATCTGATGTAAAGTACGAGTAGTTAAATGAAATGCGAAAATAGTTGTTTAATTTTATTGATTTATTCTGACTTTTACAGAATATATAATTTATAAGTATAATTTCAGTGGTTGTTGTCGAGGGTTTTATTTACTTGTTGAGAATGGTTTTAATTCCGTAATGTTTACGAAAAGACTTGCCAAACTTTCCATGTATGGTATTCTTACTCGAAAAAAACGTTACATAACATCTCGAACTACCCCAGCAGCCTCAGCAAAATTTTCTCAATTAACCAATGAGCGGTTTGAAAATTTTGTGTAATGTGCAGAT